CGATTTAGCCGTTTCGATTTTGGGAAACTCTGTTGCATGTCGTGCGCTCCACTAGATTTTACATGTAATTTGCTGATTAAGGCAAGTTAATTGCTCATTAAGGTTAATTGCTCGCTAAGGCAAAATTAAGTTCCCAAATTGCACGACAGTGGTTGACTTGATAACTCCTGTTTCTCTCCTTCAATCTAGTTCCTTACCATGTCTGCGTTTCAAAGTCCAGCATCTCGATATCGTTGTGTATCGTTCGCCCATCGAAGCCGCCAATTACTGTCGGTCGTCCCGCCAGAACCACAGCGCCTGCATCCGATCTGTAGAATATAATTCTTCCAAAGTATTTCTGGGGCAGCACGATGATGAACTTTCAAAAGGAACTTACCGTTGCTTTGCCATAAATGGCAAGTGGTACCAATGGTTTTTTTCAATGTGAAGGATCTCAGCGGAATTGAGTCTTCGGTGGCCGTTGTAGCTAAAAAGGCTATGGAAATAAATACAAGACATGAGAAAATGGGAAGTCCCTAAATGTCCTTGCCTATGCTTCTCCTACTTATCTCTTTATTGCACGATCCTCTCACTGGTCTAGTTCTATGTAATATTAGGTTGGTGAATAAGTCTTGCAACAAACTGGCCAAATTTTGATTTTAATATTTTTATTATCTTTTTGTTCCATTCATCCAGCATGCTACCACCATCAATATCTACAACCTATTGCCAACGCACTAGAAGCTGTTCGATGCCTCTCTTGTAGAACTCTACTGAATTCTGATCGAAGAAAGATCAGATGTCGATTTTGACATCATGATGGTTAGGATGAGATTTCTTCTCTAGGAGGTGGTCTGGAGAGGGAAGCAGGTGGGCATCCTTTGGCACGAGGTCAGGGCTATAAGGTGGATACGGAAGAACTCTCCGTCCGAGAGTCCCAAAATTTTCCTGGATTTTCTTAGCAAGAGGGTTCAACGGTGTCATAAAAGCAAACTTTGCCTTGTTTTCTTTCGTATTGAAAGCGTTGCAATCGAGCTGTGGATAGTTGACTTTCGCGTTGACTGCGACATCTACACGGAGGGGTTTCCAGAGCTTAACTCCTCTCGTGTTCCACCAAAAATCCGAGAAGGCCCTACTTGGACGAGGTTGAACTTAGCAGTAAGAACTCCCGAAGCGTTTGAGCTGGACTACCGCCGCTTGTTCATTTGTTAGCACACTGTACCCACTCCTCATCTTCGGCAAATGTGATGGATGGTCAATCGAAAACAAATGTGGCGGATGGTCCATCGAAGAACCCATAGGAAGTCGACTCGAATATAACGATGTCAGGTCGTGTCTGGAGCTGATTCCGGCTTAAGGCATGTGGGATCCGATACAAATCTTTTGAAGATGCCTCAGTTGCTGCTCCTCGTTGCGTCAGAATTTGCTCTAGCAAATGATCAATAGTCTATTCAGATACCTTTTCAAGAGCGTCAGGCATCGTGACTGCCATTGGAGAGTGGGATTATTCCAAATAAAAAAGTCAACGCTGAGCAGAGTGAAGCGCCGTTGCACTGTGGTTTGAGAGGAGCATGCCTCGCCCATCTTCTGGCAATCCTTGGTGTAGCATGACTTGCGGAACATTCCAAGCAGTACTCGTAAAAATTAAGGGCACGAGGAGCCCTCCGCGAAATTGGTGTAATATCCATAATAAGTAAGCAGACAACGAGCTGGACCGTTGGCTGAAATTGCAAAGGTTGATGCTACGTCAGGAAATATGTTGCGGAATTTTCGTGTAGGCTTCATAAGTTTGCTCTCTAACATTAAATGGTGATTTTTTTGAAAGACTCATGAACCAACCTAATATTAAATGGCTCCTCTGACTATGCGTTCTGCATAGTGCTATGTTCCCTCTACGTCATTCATTAGCTGTTCATGTCATGGGCTAACAAATGCGAGCTGATATGAAAGCAGACTGCTGTGAAGATTGAAAGTATCGAGCATTATGAGGTCGGCAGCAGTATTTCTTGCAGGTTTTCACCTTTTCTCCTCTCGACCCCCACCTTATCTCCCTTGCAAATTTCGCTGCTTATTTCCACTTGGTTTTGGTATTTATGCCCAACGCCATGCCTTGTTCTCTTTTTTGACTTAGCCTGCTGTTCCTGGAGCTGAGTAGAAGACCTACTGTTAAGTTGCATTCATGCCAAACGCCGGTGTTTTCAGTTGAAAGGACCAAGTTGTGGACTTTTCTGGGGAAAATGTTACGAGTGCGGGCGGTGCGGCTAATCCCGGTGTGCTGCCAACCCATTCGCGCTTGAGAGGGAGCGTGCCCAAGTCGAGAATCGTCCGGGAGTGGCGCCGTCGCGCGCGGTTACTTGCGCGGCGCCACAATGCGGCACTTCTTCGATGGGCGCGGCTATAATGGACTTTGTCGATTGGAGCACTCTACGAATGAATAAATTCTATCAAAATCAATCTAAGGTCACGAAGATTTATCATTACAAGTCGTGTCTGGGAATGGGATACTGTTCTTCGGCTGAAGTTTAATGGTATCAAGCTACAAACAAAGAAAGGCGGTAGACCGAAGATTAAAGCCGAAAACTGGCATTTCGCTGGAGAAGATACGTAACGGTATCACAAACTTCGATAATTATCAAGAGTGTAGGAATGCAAGACAAGACAGTAGCCATATAAGACGCCATTAAAGACCAGAACCAATTAAATCGACCTCAATTTATGCCAAATACAAACATGAAACGCTTACTTGAATAGCTCGGCGGCTGTAGCTGAGCACAGACGACTTCCATATCCTCCATACGTTTCTTCGGTCTGATTGGTTTTGGTCTTTGATGGCTAAGGTTTTGGTAGAATAATATATGACGGAGGACATGGCTTGAAGCTAGGTTCCTATTGGTGAAATTCAAATCGAATGTCGCTCAACTCGTCCACTACCTTCGCGGTGTCGCGGCCGCGACCACAAGCGCGGGTGCCCGGACCTTCTGTTGCTACACACCCGCGCTTGAGAGCTGCTGCTCCGTGATCTGTTGCAAACTTGGCTCGCTCACAGATACATACATACTAGAAGTCGCTATCTGGTTCGGCTGGGGTGGTTTGTTGTCGCTCAAGGCCAGAGCCGTATTGCTGATCTTTCCTCGTGCGGATAACACTATGATGTTGCTCTTAAGCAACGAGAGAAATGTGGCTATCTCTCAAGTCAGAGCACTAGAACGTATGTCGTAACCCGATCTATGTCCGCCATGCTCCCTGTCTGTGGGTTCTAACTGTTCTCTACCTTTACAACCTCCACGATACATGTACTTACGGATAGACCTGGTAGGAGTTACGTGTGTAGCACATTGATGTGGTTCAGCTTTGGGCAGAGTGCCAGGAATACAGGCGATGATTTAGAGATTAACTAAGCTAATACGTCTAATTAATGAACAAATTATTAGTGTTCACGACGACGGGTCCTAATTCTATGTGTCGTGCAGTTTGTGATGGTCTAGTGCTACAAAGGAGTTCCGAGCATCTTGATCGCAGTAACTCGGTAACAATAATATGGTTGCTATCGGCCTTTCCGGTGGGGCTGCGCGTTGAGATTTAGTCGGATTGGACATAAATATGAACGAGAAAGATCTGTTTACGACGGAAAAGCGAAGCCCAGTTGATTGTTAACATTAACTATTTGATTTTTCGTCGCACCTCGTCCTTTCGACAAACCATAAGATGTAAGTCTAGTTTTGAGGTTATTCAAATCAAATAGTTGAAAATGTACCCTCCAATGGCAACGACATGATATGTTCCGATTGGATCCACAAATGGAGTAGCAGCCACATAACACCGTCTGTCGTGCATATTCGTTATCGCCTCCCAGCTCTGAGAACAAGTATTTGTACGTATGATCTCGATGCATTATGTTCTTTTCTTTACCTTTTTATTGAGATCAAATATCTTGGCATGCTGGAAGTATTCTCTTCCATTGAAACCACCGAAAATTATCATCTTCTCGGCACATAACACGGCTCCGTGATATGCCCGTGGAATTTCTCTGAACGTGTCTCCCAAACCTCATATTCATGAGTTCATCATGCTTCAAACGCGACTATACCTCACAGCTGCTTCGGGGACTACCCATGTATGCGCCCTTGGGTTGAATAACCTCCACAATGTCTGACGGACCACCTGTGCTCCAACCTCCTGTAAGAAAACTGAAGGCATCTTCATGATGAGCATCAGAAAACTTGAAAAGCGCTCGAACCTATGGCTAAAACAATTTCACGTGGTACTCTGTCTCGCACGACAGCTGCAAGTCGACCATCGGTTCCACGCCGTTTGAGGCTTTCCGATTTTAGCCGCATCATCCGTTCATTATTTTTCGGATTTTTCTGAAAATTAGCTGTCTCGAGGTTCGAGGTATAACGTTATTACATAGCTGCGAAAAAGGCGCTATACCGCTATCCAGTTGTTTATCAATGGTTCTTCTTCTTTGCATTCAATGTCCAAACGTTCGTCGGCTAATGCAGTTAAAATCTCAGTTTCCGTCATTCTCTCATAATCGCCGTTGTTTAGGTGCTAAAGTAACATGAAGCTTAACTTCGTGTATTGTCAAATGTAGTTGGTTTTCTATCAACGTTATGACATTATGCACCTATTGGAAATTTGCTATGGTTCCCTTTTCTTTCAATACGTTCAACACTGAATTTTTTCAAAGCATCACGAACGTACAAGATTCCACTATGTCGCAGGTTTGTACTTCAGAGAAGACGACGAAGTACTGGTGAAGAAAGAAGAAATTCGGAGCCCTGCGCCGAGGAGGAAATCCGAGTCAGTACATATGATTTCTTCGTGAGCAACCTTTATGCCATAATTTAGCTGCTTTACAAGTCTCCATTGAGTCCCACAAATCCCAGCTGGCCTCAAGGTGACGTAGCAGTGTAACAGCCCTTGAACGGCTAACTTTGAATGTATCTTCAGAGGGTAGAAGAGGCCGAACTTCATTCGAAAGGACGCCCAACTCTACACAATAATTATCAAACAGTG